ACCCCTTTGAGCTCCCTTAATGCCTATGAACAAAAAGAGAATTCTGAACCAAAGAAAGGCAGGAAAACTATCTTAGCTATTAGCACCCCTGGACAACTATTAGTACATATTAGTCGGTCTCCGTCTCCATCTCCCGTCTCGTTGGCCTCCGTCTGCGACCCCGTCTCCGTCTCCATCTTAGTCTCAGTCTCTATCGCGATCTCTGATCCTGTCCCCGCCCCGTTTCTTAATCATCGGAGCACCAATTTGCTGTCTGACAAGAGAGCACAAGAAACTCCTGGGACCATTCACACCGTCCTGTTCCCGTCTCCGCACCAGTTGCCTCTCTCTTGCACGTTCCCGTACCCCTCCCCACAGCTGTGCCCCCGCTGGTGCACGTGTTCACGCCCGTGTCCGGGTCCATGTCCTCCACCATGCTCCCCGGTGAAGCTCTTCTTGATGATGAGCTGATAATCAAAACAAAAAATCAGTAAACAGCACTCGTAATATATGACCCATCTCACGCATACCAAACGCGTACCTAGGTTGCGCTCGCCCGTTTGTGGACAGCTCGAATGCTTGCAGACTGCATACAACACAACGGGGATGAATAGTTCGTTGCGAGCCACGTGCCACGTGCCGCAGATGGTGCCTTCCGCATCGCCTTGGGTAAGAGCTTAGAAGCGTACGTGAAGAGTGAAAACAAGCACAGCCGCTCCCCAGCAGAGTAAGAACCACACAACACCGGCTCCGAGCTCTTACGCTTGCACATGAAGCCAAACGACTTTGAGTGGGGCCCTGGCAGCATCCATTTCTTTTAAAACGGCCTCTATCTGACGGACTTGGTAACAACATGCAAAAGTCGTTCATCTCTGTCCTAAGAATTATTAAATCAACGGTACTCTGGCCAAAGCTTGCGTATATGGATGCCCGATCGTAAGAAATGTGGGTAATAAGTGAGCAGCGTTTACAGCACTGCGCAAAATTAAGTGCTGACATTTGCGGGGAACGCGAACGGTAGGGAGGAGATAATAAAAACGGGCACGAGATTGGCTTATAAATGGGGATTATAACAGACGCACCAAAATTATATCAATTTCGGGCCCACCATTCGCGGCCGCCTCGCCACCGCGACCGACATTTATAGAACAAAATAGAAATGAACAGAACAGAATAGAATGTTCAGGAAGAAAAGTTCTGCAAGGGCCTGAAACTTCCCGATCTGTGCTGCTCCTGGAGTTTTTTTCGGATGATTATTTAGGTGCCTTCAACAACATGGCCGCCAGAGTTCGCGTTGCGGCTATCTGGGCATGGTCCGGTGGATTCTATACATCTAGTGCTCGTCCAAACGGTTTTGAATGCGTTTGTGTTGGGAGCTGTAACTATCTCGGTGGACAGGCTATTCAATTCATTTATGTCACATACGCGGAATGTTTTGTGGCGATGAGAGCTATTTGCAGTGGGCTCCTTGAGGTTCAAGGGGTGCTCTGCAGCGTCGCGCTCCCCAGTGTCACGCTGAAACAATTCATCAGGGCTGATTCTCAGCCTGACTGTGGTTGTCCAGTACACCATGAGCATGTCTCCTGGACAGCTCCGGTAGTACGTGCCTGGCAGCTTGAGCATCTTTAGCCTGCCCTTATAATCTAGGTGTGACACACACGTGGCCAGCTTGGATACCCTCCTCAATACTACTTCAACTGTGTCTTAGTCTCCACAATACATTGGCCCCCATGCATCTGCCATATTCGAGGTGAGGCCTGACCAGAGACTGGAACAGCACAGGCATAGTCTTGACATCTAGTGCATCAAAGGACCATTTAAACAGCCCCAACTTTCTATTGGCTTTTGCTACTGCGCTTGTCGTCTGAGCATGAAAATGAAGCTTCCGGCCCATCGAAATTTATTAATTCTTCTTACCATTAACTGTGTCAAGGTAAGAGATAATCTGATAGGAGAGTAATAATAAGTAGCCTTATTCCTCGGACAAAAACAAGGAGAATGGGGCTATGTTGGGTTGATATTTCGGCAGCATGCCTTTATCGAAACAACAGCAAAAGGAGGAAGGCACTTCCGCTACTGCGCAACAAACCTCCATTTCACCCGGCTGCCGAAGCACAGCGTAATCGTGTGAAACGGCGAAAAGGACCAATTTTGCCTTCCACAAGTAAATTCTCTTGACACGTGACGCGTGCAGCATTGGACTTGGCACCACGCGCTTTGCCAATTATATGTATGTCAAAATGTGCAAGCTTCTTGTCACTCATACTGGTGGTTTCCGAGTTTTCATCCGGTTTACGGCGGCGGTTAAGCCAAATTTGCGCAAATCGTACTCTTAAATAGCTTTCGACGACACTTTAACGCTACCAGTGGCCATTGGCCAGTACTGCGACAAACGCTAAAGGCACGCCGTGGACCTGCGAGAGCGTCGCTTCGTACTCCGCGTTGCATGGTGTCGATAGGTGCTGTGTGCGAAGCCCAGCTGGGTAGCTATCTGGGTTCAGCCCGCCCTCGTCAAAAAGCTGACGGTGGTAAGCCAGCCCCACAAAAGTATCCGGGGTCCCTGACGGCATGCTAAATTAGACACGATTTTCAAACCTTGCATTTGCATCAGAGCTTGCTGATTTCGTTCGCACGCATCGGCAGTCGGTCGGTGCCTGCTCCATGGCGATTGACCACCAGCAAAGGACCACGTGACGTGCCGGCTGCGAGGAGCAGAATTACGCTCAAGCTTATTTGTAATATGGCGGCGCAGCGGAGTATCAACGCACTTGAGATAAATTGGCCAACGGCTGAGAACAATGCGCACAACGGGGTATGCTGGGGACATAGCGGAATCTAAGCTTGATACTGTGCTGAGATGGTGAGCCGAAAACCCGAAAAATGGCTGGTTTGAGATGCATCGTACTCGTGCTGCCCCAAGCCTCAGAACGGAAAATCTTACACTTATTGTCGCCATTTTCATGCCCTTAATTGGTTGTTTTGAAGGTTTGCAGAACTCGAATTCACCAAACTGCCCATTCTTCTTATGTATAAGAAAATGATTTACACGTTGCTCAATTTTAAAGCATTTCACAAGTCATACTAACACTAAAAACTGAATAACGCCACTACTAATCAAGGCAATGTTTCATCTTTGAAGATGCTGACACAAACATCAAATGTGATGAAATAAGCTCACTTGTAACTATTGGTATGCTTTGAGGTGGAAAAGACTGTTTCTTGTGTTGTCTAGTTAACTTTTTTTGTCTAGACTAATCTAGACAAAACAAGTGTTCTTGTAAGTAAATATGCTCCCCATTACGTCATTGTTTGATCACATCATCATGCCTTGCACTACATTGATTGAGAGCCATTTGACGGTCGTTATATCTGGAAGTTGTGCTCGCGAATGCCAGATACGAACGATTCGACACTCATATATTTCTTGGCATTGATCGCCGCATGCCTAATGGAATGACAACATTTGAATGAAGTCGTTATGACATCATTGATGCCTGGGGGACTTTGAAATAGTTTCCCCGAAACAGTCTGCGCATCGTCACGGGCACGTAGTTCAGAAGCGAGAGGGACTTAACTCTTATGGAAGGCAGGGCCGTAAATTGCACCGAGTGATCTTCAACATGGCTATTTCAGTTCAAAACCTATATAAGGGTGGAACACTCCCTTTAAGCCGCAGACATTGGTTGGATGTAGAAATCACATTTGGGGTTTTTGTTTTGATTCATCTTTGACCGGGCTACGATAACGACCACCAAACGTGGACCATAGCAGTTTGACCATACAATACAGTACATATCGCCTGGCCTGTGATACTATCGTGGCCAAAAGCACCCCAAACAATCCACTTTCCAGGCCGATCCGGGAGTACCTACCGATTGCATCGCGGGTGGATGGAATCGGTCAATGGCTTCCAGAGCTACAAAGAACTAAAGTCAGCGCTGAGAAGTTGCGAGAAAACCCGCGTCACTACCACTCCCACTATCGCAGAGCGCAGGCACGTGGTAGCACGGTCACCACCCGTGTTGAAAGTTTGGGAATTTTGCATTTCAGGCGTTTCTACACATGCGATGTTCATTACGGTGCTGATCAGTAGTAACGCTTATCTCTGATCAACTCTTCTTAGGACTAAAACAGTACTGAATTTCTTCAAAAGCCTTAAAAAAGTTTTGTTCAGTCTGAAAGGCACCTAAATTCGAGTTCGCAGAAATGGAAGCCTCGGCTTCGCAGTCTCCGGCACTGCTACAGACAATTTCTGGTGTCCAGCACCTACCCTTTTCAGCATCGGAGTGCCAGGATCAAGTCAACAGTAAAGTTCGTAGGCGCTCTGGACAATGCAGTGAGTTCCAGAATTCTTCCAATCACAGCCTTCCAATGAAGCAGAGTATTTTTTGGTCCGCTCATGGAACCCTAACCTTCGTTTGTAGACCTTCCCAATGATCTGAGGGCTCGAAGTTGTCCATTTTTACGCCCTGAGTTGATGACACGCACTCAGTTGGCCGGTTCCTTGCTCCTTTGAAGATCAAAAACTTCTCAAGGGTCATTTTTGTATTTGATGGAATGTCAGCTTCGCTCATTTGGGCGAATCATTTGGGCGAAAAAAGCTCGTTGCATATCGAGACACAAAAGAAAAGGATTGCGCCGTTTGGCAATGGCAGGGAGAGAGCCACAGACTCCGGGTGCTACGTTACTGGAGGACAACGGCCTTTTACTCCGACATCTATAGGTGAAATAAATAACCTTAGCTTGATAGTAGTTCATACAGTTAATAGATGTCGCTGCAAGCTCTGAGGCTGATAGTGGTGGCATAACACAAGCATAATTTGTCTCATATTTCTACAAACTCAGAAGTTAAATTTTCATAGTATACTGCTTATGTTTTTGAGTTGTTTGAATTATAAAGCCACATTTGCTGAGAATTTCTGTGCAATTTGGCTTTCAACGTCACAAGAATGGCTGCCCTGCAATGTTGTGCGCCACACTCGCCGCACTCGTCTAACTGTTATAATTAGGTGGTTCAGGTGCCAGTTGTTGGATGGGTGGAAAAGCCTGGTGTGTTTTCTAGAAATTATTGTTGAAAACGTAGAAACTCTGTGACATCACTGCTTTACTCCAGAAGAAATAAATATTCTCTCAGAAGGTAAGAAGTCAGTCTAGCCATTTATCTGCCTTATCTGCCGCCCAGATGAGTAAACTCTAGCACGAATTTATATCGGACGCATCACAGGTTTAGAAAGGGAAGCATCGTTCAAGTGCAGGCTCCTCATTCTTGTCCATGCAATTTTGATTTTAAGGAATGTTGCTTTTGTGGGATACCTTGGTTAGCATTTCGATATATTGACCTCAGATATCAGAAAGTTTGATAGGTAGTGCCCTTCATTAGTTCATAGCCAAGTAAGGTATAATGACCACTTCCTGGATGTTCTCAAGCAAATGTGAGAAGGATGTGTAGGCTGATCAAAAGATTCATAGTTAGTGTGAGCCTAGTGGCTTTTGGTTAGGAGTTTTTCTGGCTTCACAGCTGCTTATGTCAGGAATTAATCCAGCATTACATCCCTGATGATTACTCTGTGTCCAAGCTGTTAGGGAAGGTGCACAGCAGCAGTCAGATCTTTGTCTGGTGAGAACCAAGTTCAGATGTAAGGCATTTCTCTAAATACCAGCCTTCATATAAAATCATGGTATTAGTATTGATGTTAACCATGAACATTTATGATGCCATGGTTGGATATATACAGGTGTTGCTGTGGCTTATGAGCTTGTGATACTGTGATTTGATGAATTCTTCAGATTGGGCAAAGCATCTGGGCTAAACCATTATCATATTGACTATGATGTCACACTGAATGTACAAAGAAAGGTAACATAGCAATTTAATCAGGTGTATCAGGCATTGACAACAGAAGCATTACAAGAGCAAAGCATTTCATGATGTAGGTGTCTTCTGATAGCTTTTTTATTGAAAAGGGTGCTTCCTTTTGTTAGCTTTCATTCAATTCAAGAGCAAATCAGTGGCCAGATAATATTTGTGCCATAAAGCTACTTTCACAAAGCCTGCTTGTACATAACTTACCCTGCAATGGCAATTCAGGGGTACAGTACCTTGTGTTCTGAGTGGTTTAGCTCAATGTTCTGATGAAAACTTATGCAGTACATGATTATTGTCACTAAAGACTAGTCATACATAACTTGTTGCCTATACTGGTGCATGTACAATCCATAGATAATTCAATAAAAGATAATGATGATATGCATCATATTCCTTTTGCACAAAACTAATGTGTCTAAGGTCCTTAGAATACAGATTAAAAAACCATGACACCATGCTTTTTGCATATTTTGGCATCACCTGGTGCTTCTAAATTGCACCTGGAAAAGTCTGCCTGTAACAATCATGACTGGACATGGTGTAGCCTGTTTGTACATCATGCTGTCCTGCTGTGTGATAACTGGATTGCCTGTCTAGGGTGACAAGTGGGGGACTGATACTGTGGGCTTAAGCAAGGGAACAATGGTCTCCAAAGCTAACTTACAAAACTTTGTGAGCACCAGCTGACCAGACAATACTTTTGCCATTGGTGGTCATTTCATGTTTATTTTAAGGAGGCTCATCTAAGAACTATAATCTTTCAGGGTGCATGACCCAGGGAATTCAGATATTTTGGTGGCAGTTGTGTAACTTCTTAGGTGTCTTTCGGTTCTGTTACAAGTACCGATTGGTTTGGAACCACCTTGGCAAGCTATGCCTGTTGTAAGAAAACAAATATGGGTTTTACTTTGTTTGGAGGGTGACCAATCACCAACTGTTTGTTCTAAATGACATGGATGCCTCAGTAAAAGACAACTAGCGAGGTGTGATACTTTATTAAAGGCATTGTTGAAGTTTCATTACAACTCCTCTGATCCATACTTCACCTGCATCCTAACTGTGCATATGGCCTGTGGGTTGCATGCATTCAGAATAATGCATTTGGAGAAATAGTTGTATAATAATTTTGCCTCTGCTTGCAAAGTAAATTCCTAAAGCAATGTGTAAATGTTCTTGTGTCCATTAAGTGTGCGTTATGGAAATCAAATCACCTAGGTTGGAAACTGATCACATGTTTCATGGCACCATTGAACAATTCTGATCATAAACCAGTTGGAGATCACATATTTTTTAGGAAGGCCATTGTATGCCCAACCAGCCAAGCTGTTCTCTAAGTTTGATGTCTCAAGCAAAATGCATACATGGTGTAGCTAAGTATGTAGGCCTGCACAGCTTACTAACATGCCAGCATTTGTTATTTCATGGGTAATTAAGTATGCCTTAAAATCTTAGTTACTGACACTGCTTGGGCAGTGTTAGGCATATTCTCTGATGATAAGTCAAGTTTGTGTAAATGCCAAGCTGGGGTGTCTCACTGGAGATGGTGTTAAATAAACTTAAAAGCAGCCTGTACAATGGCTATTTGAGCAAAAACACTTTCACAACATGAACACATAGGGTCCTGAATTAACCCAATTTTCCAGCACCAAAACATCTTGATCAAATCTTGCTTAGCATGTATTTTTCTGGTAATATTTTCCCATTATTTCCGCCATTCACACCAATCTCCAATATTGTAACATCTATTATTTGAATGGTTGGCTGCCAAGGCTGTGTCAAACTTGGCACAGAATAGCAAATTTCTAGTTCCAGTTCCAAATGCAATACAAGTTAAGGTTCATTGGTGTCCACCAATTTTGTCAGATCAGTTAGCAAGGGTTTGAATGTTTTCAAGTTTGTTTTTTTACAAATGGCCAGGTAATTTTGCAAACAACTTTGTTTCTTCATTTTCAAGCTTGGTTGCAGTTGGTTTTCTTTCTATCAAAGTTTGGCTTGTCTGTCAAATTAATGATGCAGCTTGCTTTCCACTCATCTTCTGTGTTTTTATCCCTAAAGAATTTGCATGTGTCTGACAAATCCATAGGTATGTTTGTTACCATTCCAAAGTTATGTGAACTGTTAGTAATTGCACTTGTAATGGACTCCACTTTAATGTTGCAATCATATGGTACAGGCCCATCACTAGCTTTATAGTTACACATGATGCTTATTTCACATCACATGCTTTTAGATGGTGCAAAGCCAGACAGCTCCTTTCTGGTGTTGCACAGCTGGTATTTAAAATGCTTATCCTCTTCAATATGTTCATCACATTATCCTACATCTGGGGAGGAATTTTATTCACATCTGAATCAGAATGTATGCCACTGGACTGCTCCTGGTCCATGCTTTTGTGATTTCATCACACCTATTGTGTCCAGTTGTTTTGAGAGGCTGGATAGAGTGCACTAGACAGATAGCCATTTGCAGTGACTGAGGCATACCCACAAAATTCCCAATTTGTTCAGGATATGATGCCACTTGTGCTGCCAGATGATAACATATTGCCAGGGAGCCATCCTGTGACCTAAAGCCCATGCTGTCCAACCAGCAATGTACTGCACCAGAGCCATGCTGTGAACTAAGACACCTGCTTCCCAACCACCAATATACTGTACCTGAGCCATGCTGTGACCCAACACCCCTGCTTCCCAGCCAGCAATGTACTGCACCAGAGCCATGCTGTGACCCAACACCCCTGCTTCCCAACCAGCAGTGTACTATGCCTGAGCCATGCTGTGATGTCATGCTTCTGCTCCCCATCCAGGAAGGAACCACACACTAAGTGTGAAGTGTTGTAATGTCACACCCTGGGTCATCAAATAAGAATGCGCTGGACCTGACCCGTACCGTGATGCCATAACCCCGCTCCCAAACAGGTGACACTCAGCACGTGATCTGTATTATGTGACGCCTAGCTGCCCAACAGTCATGGCACCACACTTGAGCTATGTTGTGCTGCTGCTGACCAGTGTGGCGATGTCCTGGCAGCGGAGAGCGATGCGCCGCACCTGAGCCGCGCTCCGAGGCCGGCCGCCATGGGGCAGGCGCACAGCTCCGTGCCGTCGGCGCTGCACCTGCAGCACGGCCTGGGCGGCGGCGCCGCCGCGCCCTTCCCCTCCCAGTACCATGTCAAGGCCAGCAGCAGCGGCAGTGTCCTCACGCCCGCCTACCAGAAGCGGCTCAGGTAGGCGCTGGCCGACGCCCGTATGGTCGGGCGTGGGGACGGGCAGGCAGGAGATGGGGAGGGTAAGGTGGGTTGGGGTGGGGGGGGGACTGCTTGCTGTTTGGCGGGACTTATGGTACTTTAGGATATTTCGCAAGTAGCCATGTGTAGACCATTTTGTCATTTTCATGCGGCGACGTTCAGTCAAATTTCCCCAAACCATTTATGGACCTACAGCGTCAACCATCGTTGAGCAGATTTTTCCGAGGCAGTGGAGTTCAGAGCACAACATCAGTTCGCTCACCGTGATATTAACTACAGTGTGCATAGCTTCTCAGGTTGAGCAAAATCGAGGCAATGAACTCGTAATCTGTGACAAAACTCCAAGTCGTACGTTGGGGCGGACATTCCGCACATCGGATCTCGACCTCCTCCGATCCTCCGATAATGCGACGTTGCCGTGCTGGCTGCGGACGGGGAGCGTCGCAATATCGTGCCCTGCTAGTGCCGTCTCCCCCCCCCCCCCCTCCCCCCTGATAGCCGCTCAGTGGGCCTACTCGTGGTCATCAGTCATGCGGCGCGGGGTGCTCCGCAGCCGAGGTGACCCGGTCCTCGCGGGGTGGCCCGGTGTCGGGGTGACCCGGTCCTTGCGGGGTGACCCGGTGCCGACGTGACCTGGTCCTTGCGGGGTGGCCCGGTGTCGGGGTGACCCGGTCCTTGCGGGGTGGCCCTGTGTTGAGGTGACCCAGTCCTTGCGGGATGGCCCAGTGCCGAGGTGAGCCAGTCCGTGTCGGGCGGCCCGGTGTCGGGGTGACCCGGTCCTTGCGGGGTGGCCCGGTGCCGACGTGACCTGGTCCTTGCGGGGTGGCCCGGTGTCGGGGTGACCCGGTCCTTGCGGAGTGGCCCAGTGCCGATGTGAGCCAGTCCGTGTAGGACGGCCCAGTGCCTGGATGACGCGGTCCTTGCGGGATGGCCCAGTGCCGAGGTGAGCCAGTCCGTGAAGGGCGGCCCGGTGCCGGGATGACGCGGTCCTTACGGGACGGCCCGGTGCCGAGTGTGACCCCGTTCTGGCCGTGCTCCAGCCGCGACAAGAAGAAGATCGGCGGCTTCGCGACGCTGCGTCGACGGCTGGGCCGGCGGCGGCGTCACCACAAGACGCAGGACCACGCCAAGGTAGGGGCGCGGCGAGCCGCCTGCTGCGGGGCAACACGGAACGATGCGGGCTGGGGTGAGGACCGCGCGACACAGTGTGTTGTATTGCATTGGAATCGAACTCTATACACGGATTGGCTGTCACGGTTCTACGTCGAACCACTACAGGCGGAGCTAGTAAGGTGATTGATAGCATAAAATGCACACGAATAGTACGCACGCCCCTCACGCAACGTATAACACACAGCACAAATCGAAAATCCGCTATTTGAGCAAGAAGCCCTCGCCAGACCCCTCCTTGGGCGGTATGTGGTGCGAAGCCGGGTCTGGTGGGTCGGGTGGGGTGTCCTGTGGGCTTATGTCGTGGGGTGTCCGAAGTTCTCTGAAAGGGTGTCGTCCTCCATTGTCTCTCCATCCGATAAGAGGCCTGCCAGTTCCGGCTCAATAGAGCATGGAAGCGGTTGGGTTTGGTGTGCTCCAGCCGTTGCTCACGTCAAGGCTCTGCGTTAACGGTGAATAGCTGGCTTACGAGTCACTAGACAGTTTCCGCGTCTTGTCGAAATGCCACCTCCGACGTGAGCCATTCCAGTGGCAAATTTCTCACCTTGCTTATATGGGCATGAAAGCCTGGGCTCATTCGCGTTTTTGGGCTTCATGCGTGTTAACCTGACGCTGAAAATCAGGTTTGTGCCCCGGTTGTCCTTATCGGGCGTTGACGCTGAGACGGCCCCGCTTGGCTCGCTGCCTTCGTCATAAATCAAGCGCAGAGGCAGCATGTCGTGAGTGATGTGGGAATGTGACGGCGACGTGCACCGCGACTGCCTCTGTCCAAGGCCGCGCGTGTGCGCGCATGCGTGTGTGCGGATTGGCTAACCGAGACCGGGTGCGGCAGCTGGCCGGTTGAGACTGTGTTTGCACTACACGACTAGTCCAGACCGCACACGTCAGCTGACTCGCCCAACTCGCGTATGTCGGCCACCTGACCCCAGCCATAGGGGTGCACCTGGGGACTGTGACCGGGTTTCTTGTGGCGGCCGGCTGTGGCGGGGGCCGTGCGCGTCAGCTGTCCCGCCGTCGGCCGGCGGCGGCTGAGCCAGCTCTGCACGTGTGCGCAGGTGATCCGGGAGTACATCTGCGACTGGCCGGCGCGGGACGTGCGCGCCCTCAACGAGGAGTACCGGGCGCTGGGTCTGATGCGCGAGCTGGCGCAGAGCGCGGCCGCCGCCCGGCCGCTGGCTTCCTCCTGCCAGCAGGACCTGTGCGAGCTGTACCAGAGCCGCTACTGTGCCGACGTCGACCTCGTCTACCAGGGCTGTGTCTTCTCCGTGCACAGGTCAGTGGCGCCAGGCCACAGACGGATGGACGCGCTCGCTCACGGGCCAGTGCTCTGAAATTACAGTGCAGGGATGACGGCTTGGGGTGTTCCAACTTTGTGATGTTACCTTACGCTAGCGATTTTGAGTGTTGCCTGACGGATTATCCGTACGTGAGTTGATAGCGTGTGAGGTGTGTCAATAGGAATAGTTGGTAAATGATTGGATTTAGCTGATGTTCTTGTTGCGCCTAGAAAGTTAATATATATTTAACTGTTAATTCAGATGACTAAGCCAGTGCCTGTGTGTTACACGTGACCGATGACGTAGGCCAGCTTCGTCTGTGTCCTGTTCCTCACCGATATGTGGTCGTCCGGGGTGCATCCGGCTTCAACAGTGGACAGCCACAGCGCCGCCCCTCCAGAGGCACGCTCAGAGGCGTGTGACGCCCTTCCGCCACCACCAGGTCGATCCTGAGCGCGCGCTGCCCCTACTTCCGCAAGCTGCTGAAGGACCAGCCGCGACCGGGCGCGCCCGTGCCCGTCCGGATCCGCACGGCCGGCGTGGACCCGGAGCTGCTGAACGCGCTGCTGCAGTACCTGTACTGCGGCGAGCTCAACTGCTCGGGCCTGCTGTCGGCGGGCGCCGGCCGGCGCCGCCAGCTGGACGTGTTGGCGCAGCTGGAGGCCGAATTCGGCGCGCCGGCGCCGCTCGAGCGCGACATGAAGTACCTGCTGGAGACGGCCGACCTGGCCGACGCGCTGCTCGTGTTCCGGCCGGCCGGCGGCGGCGCGCACGACGCGCATCCGCACTCGTTCGAGTTGCCCTGCCACAAGGCCATCCTGAGCGCGCGCAGCCCCTTTTTCAAGGCGTTCATCGACCGGCGCATGAAGCTGAGCGAGGCGGGCGGCGAGCGCGCGCGTGGCAAGGCGCCCATCCGCATCGAGCTCGACGAGACGGTGCTGCCGCGCCGCTACGCCTACGTGCTGCTGCGCATCATGTACATGGACACGGTGGACCTGAGCCTGATCCTGCACAGTAGCAGCGAGCCGAGCGTGTGCCGGCCCATCAGCCTGGTGGACGAGGCGGTGGAGCTGTACCAGATCGGGCGGTTCGTCGAGCTGGACGTGCTGACGCAGGCCAGCGAGGACCTGATCCTGGAGGCGCTCTGCGTGGAAAGCCTGCCCCGCATCCTGCGCTGGTCGGCAGAACCGCACGGCTCGCAGTGGGTGCACCGCCAGGTGAGCGGCTGCCGGCGGCGGCGCGCGGGCGCTCTGTGACGGTGCTGGATGCCAATGGCCGGTTGGGGCGGATGCGTTTCGAACAAGTTACGTTTTGGACATGCTCTTTTCGGTCGTTGCCCCGTTGGGCGTTTGCTGGCATTTAGCAAAGGCATTTGCTGTGCCGTTCGCTCAACTTTGTTGTCTCACTGACTGCTGTGCTGGCTCTTGCCAGCTCCTCCCACCCACTCCTCTCTACTTCCAGCTGCATGGGACATGGAAAAGATAGAAAAAGGAGACAGTCACCCAGTTTTCAAGCCAATTATTGCATTACTCATATAACTGATTTACTGTTACGCTTTCATGAAACACATGTGCCCCGCCACTCATCCCTACGTTCCTTAACCTCTGCCGATACTTGAACCCCTCAAGCTTTGAGCAGTATAGCATTAGTGCTTAGCTTTGACCACTCATCCGTGCTTGGCAGGGAAGCTCACTATGCTGACCGTGCTGACGTACGCGTCCTCCGCCTCATCGTGTGTCGTGTTCCACGCCCCGGAGTCCGCTGCGGCCCCCCTGCGATGATCCCGGCCCTCCCGTCTGGGGTCAGCCGAGGCAGCTACTGTACCCCGGCCCGCCTCCCGCCCGTGCGCGCCCTCTGACACGGCTCCGGTGCGACCTCAGGCGCTGCAGTTTCTGTGCGAGGAGTTCAGCGCAGTGGTCTGCACGCCGTCGCTGCACGAGCTGTCGCTGTCGCAGCTGGCGGCTGTCGTCAGCTCCGACTTCGTGCAGGCCAGCGAGCTGGAGATCCTGCAGGGCATCATCCGCTGGAGCGAGCACCAGCTGGTCAGACGCATGGAGGAGCGAGGTGCGTGGCGCCGCCAGCTGCGCGCTCGCGGCGCAGCCCGCGGCGAGAGCGGTCGACGCCTCCGCCGAGCAGTGCCACCGAGAGCGGGGCGGCGGGCTGATCCTGCGTCTCAACATGGGATTTGAGCTAGTGTGTCACGGCGTGAAGCTTGAGCCGAGCCCGGAAACCTGAAATGTAGGCCCCCAGACACAGGGGATCTCACGACAAAGCTTGCAAATGAGCATGGGGTCCTGGAAGATACTTTCGCAGCATATAACGGATCCCGTTTTCAGGAGTGTTTTCGGGTTTTCCTCCACAACGGGCAATATGAGTCCTGACCAAGCAGCCCCTTGTGTAGAATGTCAAATCCAAAGTATTCTCGCAAAATACACAAAGAATTGCTGTATCCCAGTAGATGATGAGTGGGGTGGACTGTAATGCAGCAGCATAGGACATAATATTCGGATCCTTGGGCGTGCAGAAAGTTTGCTCAGCGCATGAGCATTCACAGCATTTGGTCATCTGGGGCCTGCCGAATGCCAGAGGGCAATACGTCTCATCAAAATCAGCTTGTCAAACCTTACCACCATAATGTAGCTGATGTAGTCACCAGGTTGTCACCATGTCACTACGTTTTTGGTTGTAACTGGTAGTCAATAGGTTGACATAAGTGCTTCATGCCGTGCTGGTGTGCGGTTAAGCTGTTGCGGTCTATGCGAATAACTGTACTTCCGAGACATACATTTGGAAGATTGGACAGCTCTCATCCAGGATTTGCTTTGAACAAATGTAATACGCTGCATGTTGACCTGAGTCCCGTAAGATCCAGCAGCCAAAGTTGAAGCCGAATTCAAGATAGGGAAAGGCCTTGCAGATACACTGAGACGCGCATATTTGATCGCGGAGAATCCCGCAAAAAGCATCTATAGACGGCGCTGATGGAAAATTATATCTTTACACCACCCATGTCAGTGTTCCAAGGAGCGACTACCATCACTACCATTCCGTAGGTGGAGGTATAGTCTTCGGAATATTTGGGATGAGGTGTTAGTACAGGATATGGAGTAGCGTTCTCAGATGCTTCAGAGGGCCAATTAGCACCGTGTGATATTTGGATATTTGGGATGAAGTGTTAATACAGGATATGGAGTAGCGTTCTCAGATGCTTCAGAGGGCCAATTAGCACCGTTTGATATTCGGATATTTGGGATGAGTTGTTAGTACAGGATATGGAATGGCATTCTCAGATGCTTCAGAGGGCCCATTAGCACCTGAGGACGGCCTCAGAAAGACGAGGCGTTGTATGCAAACTAACAGTGTTGACGACGGATGTGTTGTGAGCTTTTTCAATATGGCCGTGCCATTCAACAAAGTCAAAACAGCCCGTAATTGTGCCACTGCTGTGAATGACGCGGTTATTAATGTCAGATGGAACTATTTGTGTTATGTGTTTGTAGGACAACGTTAGCTCCGTACGCACAAGTTATTCGGGGATTGCGCAAAAAATCGTTTCTTTGTGCGGGTCTTAAATGGATTAGAATTGGTTAGCAGAATCTGTGCGTGAACTTAACTACTGAACGATGTAGATTTACAATTCAAGATACAAATAGGTTGCTTTACTTCGCCATCAAACTTGCTGTGCTATACAATTCTGCACATGGATGCAAAATTATGGCTAAAAATGGAAATGAACGACTTGCAACGCAAAGGCACATAGATCAGCATAACATTAGCATCTAGTCGGCACAACTTGTGTAGGTGATAACTTTTAACAAAATGCGGCACTGACCTCGGGTCGGCGCGCTGGTCCCGGTCTTGTGGCCCGGCCGTGTTCCGCTCTCGCTCCGTTGCCGATCGTCGGCCGGTGTTCTCCGGAGGCCGGCTGAGCACCGCAGCACCGTCACTGTGCCGACAGAGCCGAACCTGCTGTCGCACACGGCCCACTCTGTGACCAAGAAGGGTGTGAAGCGGCGCGAGCTGAGCGACGCCGAGCTGCGCGAGGTGATGGCGCCGCTGCTGCCGCACCTGCGGCTCGACCACCTGCTGCCCGTCGACCACGACACGGTCACAGCCGCCATCCGGCGCGGCCTCATCAGCATCCCGCCGTCGCACATGATCGGCGAGGACACCAGCAGCCGGTGCGTGGCGGCGGGGGTGGGATCCGGGGTTGTCGCCGGAGCGGGGCGCGACAGACGGGGATGACGGCTCGGGGAGAGTGACCGCCTGGCTGTATGTGATGGCTGCCGCGAGGCGGCACCTTGTGAGCAAGGCAGCTTGTCTGACCGGCTGCATATGGGAACTGTTGCGAAGCATAAGTGACGCGTCGTAGAACAGTGCCTGGCTGACAGGTCCCAGTTAACCCCATCGACTGCAGCCAGTCAACTCTAATACCAGTCTGTCGTGGAGCAGTGCCTGACGGACAGGTCCCAGCTAACCCCATCAACAGCAGCCAGTCAACTCTAACACCAGTCTGTCGTGGAGCAGTATCTGACTGGCAGGTCCCAGCTAACCCCATTGACAGCAGTCAGTCGACTCTAACACCAGTCTTCTGTGATCGTGACGCTGCGAGTTGGTCGGTCTCGCTGCACCCTTTCCGGTATGTCGGCGGGATGCTTCCAGAGGCGCGTTACCGCCGCCCACTGCCTGACACGCCACTGTTCGTCTCGACTTTGTTAGTGTCGTGAGTCGACAGCACCCTGTGGCCGTCCAGACCCTCCCCAGCGCCCCCGAGCCAGTGGTGCCCTCTGAGCGCACGCCTCCGGCGCCGACAGGGCCCGCTCCTGGTTCCGGGGCAAGCGAAAACGCGGCGAGTACGTGCGGCCGCGCTACTTCCTGCCCTACGTGGAGGAGGTCAAGGTCAGATCGGTGAGTGGCCCTCGACTCGGCGGGTGACCAGGCAAGTTTGCTCTGTGGAGGCCGAAGTTGGATTGGTGGGTGGCTCGGGACGCTGCTGGTGGTCCATGTGGTTCCGAGCTGCGTCGAGATGGCGTGATTTTGTAATGCGTGGGTTGGAAGCATGGCCACATTTCGATCTGACGTGATAATGGATGATTGCCAGTGGCAGAAACTTGGAATGACATAGCTTTCATTAATATCGCGGGCCGTAAAAAAAGCAATTAAGTCACATAGTTAAAACTGCTGTATTCGGAGTTCCCAATGGTGTTTTTAATGTACCCCGCAAACAAAATAGCTCTGGGTTCTCCACATGGGTCAGAGTCAGAAATATTACCATATGGCGCTCGCCGTTTCCCCACCCCGCCCCCACCCTCCCCTGCCTGGTGTGCGTCCCCGAGCCCTGCCCGGTCTGATGAGTGTCCTGCCGTCAGGCGATGCTCGAGAGTCACCTGGGCAACGAGTACGGTACGGGCGTGTTCCACTACCAGCACAGCGTGGCGGCCACGATCCCGGACGCGCTGTACATGGTGGACGGCGAGGCGCACGCAAGCGCCGCCGACGCCGACTCCTCTGCCGGCGAGGACGATATTCCCGGTGAGGCCCCGTCCGAGCCAGCACCGGCGGGCGGACGACAGCGCTGGCCGAATGAAGCGTCGGTCTTGTCTGCGTTGTCGGAGGGCTGGTTCAAGTCGCCTGCCGCGGACTGTTGTGCTGCCGAAATGGCGTGGTGTGGCCTGATGGTGGGCGCCGCTAGGCAGTCGGGTTAGAAGTGATTGTCTACGTTTATGTGCTAGTACCTTGCGCCATGTCGGCACCACAGGAGCTCGCGGTAGTTGATGTGAAGGAAGACGGCCCATGTCATCATCATCCTTTTAGAAATTGTTTGTGTAAGAAACCCAGCGATACGCCCTATTTTGGAGCAAACACTCACACATAACATCAGCGGTTCAGACTTGGTGGAGTGTTGACACTGCTTTCAGAGTTGGTGAAGTGTTGAGTCTGTTCGTGTCGTCGTAGGTGGTGCAGTATCCCTCTTACGTACCCTCCCTGTGACGTGAGCTCTTTCGACCTCACTGTGACATACCTTCGACCTCGACCTGTTTGTGATATGTGATTTTGCGTGCCTCATTCCTGTTCACTTTGTCCATCCTGGAGTTTGACCCCCTCCTCCTTCTGTATGATAAGCCTGCATCCTTTCCGTGACTAGCGTCTGGTTGATCTCTACTCCCGTCTGCCCTGTCGCCAGCACGCATCTGTTCCCGTTTCCCGTGTGCCTCATGATGCCTGGTCACAGCGTCGTTCCGTTACAGTGGCGCCGCGGGCCGACATCCTGTCGGCGATGCTGCAGCGACAGCGCGAGCTGCAGGCGTCCGGCCTCTACCAGCGCGCCAGCACGTGCCTGCTGCTGACGCCGGCGCGCGTGCGCCGCCAGGTCGGCCTGCAGGTGGTGCGCGAGTACGGCCTGCCCGACTGTATGGTGCGGGTGCTGCAGGTCAGTCGCCGCCCCGCCCGCGCCGAGGCCACCAGGGCGCGCCTGATGCTGCCGGACGGCTGATGCTGCGCCGCAACACGGGATCATTACACGTGTTTTCCATTGCTGTTCGGCTGGGGTGTGATGTACTGAGCCGGTGCTACTGCACAGCTGTGCCTTGTTTTTGGGACTGGGTTGTAGTGGGGTGGTTTGTATTGCTGGGCTGATTTGGTCGCTCCATTCGTGGCTCCTTAGTGTCCCATACCCTGAGCGTTAGTCGTCTCTTGATCGCTGACATGCCTCCATGGTGTCTGATCCCTAACATTCTTCTACAGTGTCTGATCCCTGACACGCCTCTGCGGTGACACCGATCTCTGACATGCATCTGTGGTGTCTGATCCCTGACACGCTTCTGCAGTGTCCCTGATCCCTGACACACCTCCGCGGTACCCCTGATCCCTGACACGCCTCTGCATTGTCCCTGATCTCTGACATGCCTCTACAGTGTCTGATCCCTGACACGCGTCTACAGTGTCCCTGATCTCTGACATGCCTCTACAGTGTCAGATCCCTGACACACCTGTGTAGTGCCCCTGATCTCTGACATGCCTCTACAGTGTCTGATCCCTGACACGCCTCTACAGTGTCCCTGATCCCTGGCGTGCCTCTGCAGTGTCCCTGATCCCTGACACGCCTCTGCAGTGTCCCTTTATCCCTGACACGCCTTTACGATGTCGCGCAGGAGGCGAGCCGGCGCAGCGAGGGTCAGCTGACTGTGACGCAGGCCGGCAGCCGGTGGCGCTCCACCAACGACCTGCCGCGGCACTGCCTGCTCACCTTCCCGGAGCCGGAGCCGGCCCAGTTCCGCACCCTGGACGTGAGTCAGCCGGCCGCCGGCTGCACCGCCGCGCGCGGCGTCGGCACGGCCGTCTCCCCCAGCGGCGGGGCGGCACTTTTAGTACATGTTTCGTTGCGTTGTGTGTTTTGCTGTCCGTTGGCGATGCATTCTTTGCTTCACCGCGGTGGTATGGGTTTGTCGATGTGGGTCCGGTTTTTGCCGTGGGGCTGCGGCGTGTGACGTTAGTAGGTAATAGGGATGATTTTTTTGTAACATTTACTTAATCGACGATCATTTGATATGAATTAGTTACTAGCCATGTTCATGGCAAATTGATTAGCTGACATGCTGTATGGTTCTCCTGATTGTATCCCGGAACTTTGGGATTATGATTCGGACGTGGTATGAACATTCCGTCACTGCGAATTGTTGAAGCATGATGGCACACAACACAGCAAGTAGTTTATCACCTCCTGTAGTAAACACAACTCAGTGTTCATCAACACTTCGTATGCACGTATGTACGTATGCACAGCACACGTTCTGGTATGTTGCTAATAAATCATGTGATGGGAGCAACGGCCATTATAGATCCGTCGCTGCTATCGTTCACGTCGCGTCATGGGTGACCATGTTGGATGTCAGTCCACCTTTCGCACCGCATGGTCTTTCTGTTGCGTGTCCAACCACGCAGTGATACGAGTATCCCCCTCGCACGCTCCGCCTGCGCTGTCTCACACCGTTTTTGCCCCCCCCCCCCCCCCCCCCCTCCCCTGCCCGTCTCGCTGTCCCGCCTGTTGACGGCGGATGACGCCGCCGTGGCGCCGGCAGCTGGAGGCGCTGAACCTGCGCGAGCCGGGCCACCTGTCGACCATGCCGGACGTGGCGCTGGCCACGGGCACGCTGCCGCGCCAGCGCTCGCTGCGCCAGATGCGCGAGCGCGAGCTGGAGCTGGACCTGGGCGACGGCACGCGCCACTACCAGAGCCACTGACGGCCGGCGCCGGACGTGTGCGTCTGCACCTGCACCCTGCAGTGACGCGACTCCACGTCCGGCCGACCGCGCCGCCGCCGCCGCCGCCGCGACCGACGCCGCCGCCGACGACGACATCACCACATTGTAGATCTCATCCATTGTGCGCCTTACCTGCTGCCATATTCGCTGCCGCCGCCGGCGCCGGGCGGCGTGCGCGGCGCCGCGGGAGGAGTACAAAGCCGTCGCCCGGGCCGGCTGCGGGCCCGCGCGCCGCCTCTCCCCTCGTCTGCGCGCGCCTGGTCCGCCCGGCGGCCGGCAGGCGTGGGCCGCGCGCGCGCGCGCTCGTGCCGATCGCTCTCTCCTGTCGCGACAGACAGCTGCTCTACCTCTCACGGTGACGGGCTGCTGCGCGCACGTGCTCGTGCGCCCGCTCTGCGCGCGGACCACTGGTGCGTCAGTGGCGAGCGCCGGTGGAGACCCGGAGCGCCGGGCGACGCCGCCGCCGGCGCCGGCCCGCGAGCGGCCGTGTGATTCACGTTTTGCCAGCTGCAATATGCCGGCGCGCTCCTGTCGCGCCCGGCTCTGTTGACCGCTCGGCGTTCACTGGTGATTTCGTTGTGCCCCAGATGTGATAGTGTGCAGTTTTCATACCTATACATATATATCTGTGTGTTTTGTGCGTACGCGTGCGTGTCATGTGTTTGTGCTCCACGGTCTGTCGTGGTTTTGCCCGGGTATTGGCCTTGCTCGCCGCAGGGGTCTGCAGCGTGGACCCCTCGCGAGCATTCCTCACGAACACCGAACAAATGTTATCCACTCAAATGACGATCGACCAAATAGCCTCCCTCCGCACCTGATTTCACGGTTGTGTTCTGGCGGGATGTGTGCGGCGTCCGCGCGCCGGCGGCAGCGGACCGCCCCCGTCGTGTCGCGATCGCCGCGCGGCGCGGCGGGCCGTTGCGCTCCGGCGGCACCGGTGTTCACCGGCGCGCGGCTCGGCCAGAGCGAGCAGCGACCACTAACCCGTTCCGTGCGCACGGGCAGGCCCGAGTGTGTGCGACAGTGACGCGGCTTACGCTGAGGGCGTGTGTGAGCCGGGCCCCCGTGCCGCGATCGCTGATTGGTCGGAGAGGGCCGGCCGACTGCCGCCTCGCTGAGGGCCACTGCGACACGTAACACTGGTTTGTATTACACCGTATTCACTTATCGCTTGCTGTTGGTATATACGTTGTAGTCCTTGTACAATTGCTGCGACTTTAGGATCAATACAATACTTATATTCACGTATGCACAATGCTTCTGGCGTGGGTGCTGGTGTGTTGGTCAGAAATCTGCGACGGAGGTCCCCAAGCAGCTTGGGGTCTCGGTTGGGGAGCGACCCTCCCCAAATCATGAGCCTTGGCATTCCGTCCACATTCGGCGTCGGTTTGGGCTCGGGGATGGCTGTCAGCGGTTCCGGCCTTGCACTGGCGAATTCAGTGGGAATGTCGATATGAAATGGTCCAGATCGCACCAGCGGACTGTTGGTGATGGAGAGCCTTCCCATGTCAATGCCAATCAAACCGCTGGAGGGTATTTCATGTCATGCATCAGCTAGCTTTTGACCAGGACACCGCCCAGCTGTAGCTTTTGTAAAGAAAGTTCGACAAGCTACACAGCTGATTACTATAGACAACGCGCAAAGCCCCTCAGATCTGCGTTATTCCTTGGATAAAGACTGAAGAACACAACGGACATTTGTGACAAGAACCTTGTGTCTGCTCGGTTGCGGTTCCGTAATATTGCGGGTGCTAGCCTCGGCCGCTGGAGCTCAAACCTCTGCTCCCAAAAGAAAGATCACTTTTAAAGGAGGACGCCCAGCCTCGCCGGAACCTACTGAAGACCGTGGTCCCTTTTCAACGGGGTCATTCTACCGGGTTGGAAATACACACGCGACTGCGGAGCCATTTAGCCACACGCAGGAGTGTCCCGCCTGACTTCCGCATGCGTCAAGTGACACAACTCACATCAGTGAAGACACATTTTATATTCATGACAGCACATCTGGCGAGACATTCACTGATGACAGTACAACCACCCAGGAGCAACAGTCCCCCATCGGTAACGTCAGCATCGCTGCCGTGACCAAGCCCGACACTCACAAACACCGGCGAGGGCATCACCATCATCGAAACCAACTACAATTCAAAATCGTCCCGCAGTTCGTTGTACTCCTGTACGTGTTTTCGGATGGCAGACGCGTCCACCCAGGTCAGGAAGTCCTCCATGTTCCTCGTGACGAAGAACGCCGGGTCCTTGACCACCTCAGGCCCAATGCGCACGTGTCCCTGCTCCACGAACTGCGTGGCCATTTTGACCGTGGGCGCCATCTTAAGGCGCACCATGAGCACAGGCAGGCGTCGTCGGCAGAAAGACGACGCCGTCACCTTGTCCACCAGCTCCAGGTTCCACTTGGTTGGGATCAGGCCCATCTGGTAGGCCTTTTCGATCAGCTGTGCGGAGGCCTCCACCCGGAACTTATCCTTTGGGTCGAGGTTCCGTATTTTGCGGGCGATCTCTCGGATCTGGCGAGCCAGCTTGTTGTACTTTGTGTAGTCATCCCGTTTCTTTATCTGGAACTTACGTAAGATCTTGGCTTCGTGCAGTGTGTTGTCTGCTTCCCATGATATGAAATCTACCTTCTTGAGCAATCTCTGCTCATGATACTTTAGCTTTCTAACCATGATTTTCTATGTTGCAATAATATCTGCAGAATAAATAAAACATAGTCATTGGAAGTCTTCAGGCTGATATGGAACTGAGCAACAGGATGTTACAGACAGTGGAATCATTGGATATTTAAGGGGGTAGACAATGTTGTAAGTAGAACAGACATAAGGACACAACAATCAAGACACTTCATAAGCAAATATGTATTATTTTAATTCCTCTACATTATTTTTGTCACTAATAAGTGCTAGCAACCCTCTAAATGATTGCTGCACCAGATGGTATACTATCAGGTTCATGGCAAATATCATATCCATATGATTTGGTTGTCACCTCAAGTAGGAGTACAATGGGTGTGAGTGTAACAAACAAATATTTTTAGGAATTAGGAAACCCAGCAAGGGGCCATCAAACCAGCAATAAGTATCACACATTGGCACAGGTCCACTATCCCACCAAGCTACCAAATGTCAAAATGTGGCATGTCAAGAGGCTTTCATGATATTGCTTCCCCTCCAATGCTCATGAGGATAGTGCTTATTTCTTAAAACTGGAAGGAAAACACACCCTCCAATTTCATGTAGTGGAGGGCACATATGCCAACACAGGCATGTTCTTATACACACCCAGTCTGTGGACTATGGCAAGCATGCCAACAAGATGTTTAAGACACGCATCACCCTGCCACAAATAGAATGACAAACTGCCCAATTTGGAGCAAACATTGCTAACCTTACCTTCCCCCAAAAATACAAATGCCAATCAGACTTGGTTATTTTCTATGATCTTAGCAGTCACTTTATATCACATAACACGTGCTAATTGCCATAACATTCCAATTTAATATTTCCACCCCAAATCTTTGATTATCCACATTTGATGCTTTTGACAGTTGCCCTAGATCTCAGGTTATGTCCCACCTCTGTAACAACGAGATCTCTGAAATGAGAAATCTGTAATGCTTTGCAAACCGGACTACCATGTCTTCCAAAGCTTAGGATTGGTTCCCTGGCACTAGAAATTACGTACCTGCTTGGAAGCTACACTTTTCTACAAGAAAAGACCGCTTCCACCTACTGCATCTCTCTTCCTCACGAACGAGCAAAACTATACTTAACTTACGGGGCTAATAGATTCCTACTCCCCGAGAGCGGCGGCACGAACCTGGACACCACGATCCAACACGGAACCCCCATGCTCGCTATTGATGCAATCTGTGACGCACATGTGCGCCATGATTCCCAGCCGATATAAACTCGTCAGCTTTTAAAATTAAATGACGTCATAAAAACGTAAGTTGTTACGAGGCACTTACTTGATGAGTGGGTGCCACGATATTCTTTTCGATAAATGCATGTATTCAAAATATAAATACGTCTATCTATTCATTCTCCTAGTTATTTCACCAGGATTGGAGTTATTGCTATGACCTTACATGTACGTCATGATAACCTCAATTAAAACTGCATACTTCGAGAGCTCCCATCTCTGTCTTGTTGATATGCATCAGGTGCAGAGGAAATGTGTATAAAATGCTCTAAACCATAAATAACCGTGTTGGCAGGGGCGGATCCAGAGGGGGGCACGGACTTTGACCCCATTGGGCCCCGAAGGAGCCCACTGGCTCGGAAGGGGTCCATAGCCGGCCGAAGAGGTGAGTTTTTTTTAACACAAAACGCAACAAAACTGGGGATCTCTGGACTTCCAGGCGACCAAAAACAGCTGTAAGCAAAAGTGAAGGGCGTGCGAAAAGTCCAAAATATTATCCAATGATTGGAAAAGCTCTGAACTGTACACTTGAAGCCCCATTGCACTGTCTAGGGGCCCATACTGTTTCCGGGAGACCCATATGCCCACATGCAGAATCATATCGATCGTTAATGAGCATTCCGCGTTTCCTTTCATCTCTTTGCAGTTGCTCGGAGGGCCCTGCGCTGTTGGTAGGGCCCTTCCTGTTAGTGTGCCGTTGCACTCCCCTCCAATCACGGGCCCTTCCACGGATTTTTTCCATTCGCCAGAGAGGCCCTGTGAGCTATAGCTGGGGTTCCACATCTTAACCTGCCGGGGTATTATCGGGTGCCCAGGGGCCCTTTACGTGGGTCTCGGTAAACCTACCGACACACAGCTCATGGGCTCTCTACATTAGCCTAAGACGTTTACAATTCTCTGTCACTTGCTTAGTTCCCTACACTCTTGTCAGGAGCCATCTGATGACCTGGTTGGGCACACTCAGTCGTTCGGGAACACCGCATACTGGGTCTTGTGTATTTATTTTCCGAATGGGGGCCCTACGCTCTTGTGGGGAGACATCTGATAACCTGCTCGGGCATGTTCAATCGTTCGGGGCCCTCTACATTGGGCCTTGGGCACGGGCTATTTGAATGGGGCCCTACGCACTTGTCGGGGGGCCCTCTGTTCGCCTCCTCGACCACACTGATCGGGGGCCCTGCACATTGGTTCTTAATGTTTGAATTAAGCACCCTCTGCTCCTATCGAGGTCATCTGATAACCTGCTCGGATACACTTCATCTTTCGGGGACCCTCCGCACCGGGTTTTGGCTGTCTCGTACTTGAATTGAGGGCCTTACGCTCCTGTGTGGTCTATTCTGATAAGATGCTCGGACCCTTTCGATCGTGGAGACCTCTACATCTTGTTTTGGACATTTCCTTTTTGAATGGAGGGCCCTTCGCTCTTTTCGGGGGCCCTATCTGCCCTAACCTGCTCTGGCACACCCGATCATTCCGGGACTCTCTGCATTGAATCTTGGGTACTTCCTATTTAAATGGAGGCTCCTACGCTCTTGATGGGGACCCTATATTTTAACCTGCTCGGGCACACTTGATCGTTGGGAGCCCTACATATTTTGTCGTAAGTATTTCTTACTTAAATGGATGGTCCTATGTCTTGGCGGGTCCCATCTATAAAGCTGCTCGGGCCAGTGGCGGATAGACAGAAGGGCGAGGCACGAGATCATCTCCCCATGGACCATACCGAGAGGACCTAAAGGCTCCGAAAGGACCCATAACCGGCCGAACAGACGCAGTTTTCTTACAACAAAATTAGACGCCTTTGGACCTACAGACGACCAAAAACAATTGCTAGCAAAAGTAAAGAGCTCATGATCAGACGAAGTTTATTCTTTCCTGATTGAGCAGGTGTTGCTGGGGGGGGGGGAGTTTTGGGGCTCATTACGCTGCCCAGAGACGTTACGCTGCTGCCCGGACCCCATATGTCCACTTAACGGGTCAATCTGATCGCTAAGGAGCTTTCCATGTTGCCTTTGATCTCTGAATTTTTTCGTAGGGCCAAACTCTGCTGTTGGAATGTTATCTGCTCCATGCCTGGGCACTCTTGATCGAGCAGGTTTTCCTCGACGTATTTTTTTTTCTCGTTTGCCCGAAAGGCTCTAAACGCTTTTACGGGGCCCCATATGCCAGAGTGCACTCAGTTGCTCAGGGGCCCTTCATATTAGTCCCTGGTTCTTTCCACTTGCTTGGAGGGCCTTGTGCTGTTGCTGGGGCCCTTATAGGGTGAGGCACCGAGACACCCGATGTTCAGGGGCCCTCTACCTTGATCGAGGGATCTTTCCCTTTGATCTCAAATGCAGAGGACTCTTCACTCCTATCGAGGCTCTTTCTTTAACGTGCTCGTACACTTTTGATAGCACAGGGGTATTAATTCATGGTCTTGGGTAACTCCCCTTTGCTCAGAGGGTCTTGTGCTCTGGGTGGGGCAACATATGTCAGCCTGCGGGGGGACAACCGATCGTTTAGGGGCCCACCACATTGGTCTTGGGTTCTTTTTTATTGCTCTGAGGATCCTGCACTTGTTGATGGGAGCCACATTGTTTGCCTCCCGCGGCACCCACGATCGCTCGGATTTCGTCCCAATTGCCCTTGGCGCCTTCGCCTTAGAGCAGTGGTTGGGTATGTGCCGATAAATTTTTACGCGCAATTGCCGAACGTAATTTTGCATGCCGCCGGCGTCGTATGTGTCATTTTCATTGACTATTCAGTGTGTAACACTTGTACTAGTGCATCGCGTTCTTAACATATTTCGAATGTTATGATACGTTGTACTCCTTTATGACAAATGAAAAATTATGCAGTCATCAGCCATCAGCTGATTACATTGCCCTCCCGGCTAGCCGCAAGTTGGTTTTGATGGTTGCAAGCAGCCAGCTCAAGTTTATTTTGCCTGTTGTTCCGAAACACTTAGCACCAAAATCACAGCATTTAACCTGACCTGTAGAAAATGAGTGAGCTCTATGCGTATGCATGGGGTAGCACGCCTAGCTTTATAGGGCTGCGCACGTTAAGATGGGTTTCCGTATTTTATTGAATAAATGAATAGGTAAATATATATATATATATAATATATATATATATATATATATATATATATATATATATATATGTATGTATATTACATCCGACTTGTCTTAAAACGTGATGACCGAAAAGCAAGAATATTTTTGGAGGGGCTTCAAACTCCAGGGGGCCCACAGTGTTGCGTGCCCCCCCTTGACGAAATCTCGGATCCGCCCCCGCGTGTTGTACACCACCCGCAACCATAGTACTGCAAGGCTTAACACATAAACATCTGACACACATTTTGCCGCCTCTTAGGATGCGTGGAAAATGGTCTTCAGGTGATCAAAGTTCAATGACTTTGCTCAAGGACTTAGAGGCTAATGAGGCAAACAGCAATAGAAGACCGTGTTTCGTTTAGCCATGACGAGTGGGTGCCACAAGCGGGAACCACGAAGCCTGCACGAAATGAATGCAAAACTGCAGCAGAAAAATGTAGCTTTGTTTTGCTCTGCGCAGATATTTTAGTAAATTTTTATCTAAGGATGTGGTAGCTCGCGATAGGAGGGAGAGTGGCGCTAATATTACGAAAAAAGGGACTCCGCTTGACAGGATAAATACCTATAGCTAATCGGTTCTCAGCCCTTGGCAAAGTTCGAAGTATAAACGTTCGAGTCAGTTGTGATCTCGGAATTAGCAATTAACGTAGGTACCCCGTTCGGCTTAGCAGACCTATGTCGCTGTATAAATAATTTTGCTGCACGTAGGCCGTGGGCCGTAATGCGCTGTCACGACACGAATACAGCCCGTTTTGAATGCCTGACTGTGTTTGGCACTTACGTGAGGTAACCCCTTGCTCACAGAGCCAGGTAGCCCCTTGCTAAAAAAATGGGATCATCATTCTGTACTAGATTATTTCATCGTGAATTATGCATGCATTAGAAAATATGACGATTATTGACCTTTGTCACAACCTGCCATGTTTGGATTCAGCAACAAAAACCTTGTGGTTTTCCCTCAATAAGTCAGGTTTGACCTTCAACTTATGCTCTCTTAGACTCTGCTTTTGATGCTCAACCCACCATGGCCCCCAGTACACTATTAAGGTTACCTTTTGGGTTTGCTGCATTTGAAATACAAAGGTTCTGTACAATAAGATGTTAAATGAACCTAGGGAGTGTCATTGCTGATCAGAAACCACTGCCAAAGCAGAAACTGACAGCCTGCCTTGCAAAGAATGTTAATAGGTGTATACATGCATGTTAAGTGTTATATGCTAAAGAACCACAGTAATTGACACCCTAAAACCAAGATACTATTAGGTACCTGGTATATGCATATACACAAGACCACTACAACACCCAACACATCTCACCATGGTCTTAAAAATATATGCTGTTTTATGCATGTGACTTACCTAATATACAATTGTAGATTAAGTCGTGGAGTCTAAATAGCAGTTTGTCTGACATTAAAACAAAACATCGATAACTGACCAGCAATTGTCCAATATTTGTGTTGTGGAATTCTGTGCAAAGGAGATAACTTGCATATACCTTTGTATTGCTATATTTACACTTGCCAAATGAAACCAACTGCTGTTTTGCTTTGTTATGACATGCCATTCATTTTGCCAATTTGGAACTATTCAGATCATTGTTGTACTCATGGATGCGAGAAGTTCTCACAAGCTGGAATGGGTGGGGGCTGGCAGACAGCAAGCCATTATAGGTTATTATTTGTAGACACTGTCCACAGGTCTAATATAAAACTTTCAGAAACTTTGCACCTTTGCCTCCCTGACTTCTGATGCCCTTAGTATCATACATGCAGGGTGTCCTGAAATTGATGCACCATTGCATTCTCCCCACTAACAGAAAAAATGATTGACACCCATTCATGATTTATCTGCCAATGTAATGCCTACACAGTCATATACATTGTGACATGTGCTCAGACATGCTGCTCATCAGGTTGTCAAGAATCTCCATCTGAACCCTCCACCATGCTGTTTGCTCATTCTGGAACAGGGCCTTTTCTGATGTGGCGGCAACATTTTTCTGCCTGATGATCGCTCAGAGATTCTCGGTCGACGACATGTCGGGGCTGTTGCCTGGCCATGTACCCTTCTCCCAGAAGCCCGGGAAGTTAGTGCATCACCAGTCCTGAGTCTTCCTGGTGTGATGATCTGGAGCACCGTCCTGCTGGAAAATCACCATTGACATGTCTGTCAGGAATTTGACCTCGGTTGGTGGGTCATTCTCTCTCCTCCGCTGCATCGCCGAGGCTGCAGTCTTCTCCAGCACCTCTCTGACGTAGTCAGCGGTGACGGTGTGTCCGCGCGGGACTTCGTGTAGCTCATAGAGGCTTCAGTAGCTCATCATGCCCCAGACAAGAATATTTAGCTCCTGTAGCCCGTTTTAGGTGCTTCACTGTCCCGGCGATTGGCACCTCCGAGCTGTTGTTGGGCCAGACCCGGTCGTTCTGGCGGTTAAGAGCTTAGAAGAGCTCGAAGAGCGACTCGACATTGAACAGGAAGCGTCTCCAGTCCTCAACGGACCAGTTCTTGCGGGCCTTGGTGAATTCCAGCCGCCCGCGCTTCTGGTCCACGGTAAGCCTTGACTGCAAGCTGGTGTTAAGCGGCTTCAGTTGCATGCTGGTCCTCAGGTACCGGCGGACGGCCGACTTGGGGGCTGGGTGCTTTTGTGCCGTCAGTTTTCGCGCCAGGGTTCTCGTCGAGTGGTGCCTTTTGAAGGCCGTCTTGCAATGCCGATCTCCACCACCCGGCTCAAGGCCGACTTCCGCCCGCAACCTGTGCGACTTTCGAGCGTCTCTCCTGAGCGATCGCGTGCCAGCCAGTGCCTAATCGTCGCTACGTTGACGTCCGAGTCCCAGGCGACCTGAACCTGGGCCATGCTGCCCTTGACCATCCCAACCGCGCGTTAGTGGATCGGTGGCCTGTGCTCTCTCACCATTGGCGATATGCAAACTCGACGCATTGGCTACCTCAAAAGGAATGACCTTTCCCGCCCGTTACCGGCCGAGGTGAGGCCGGCCGCGAGGGTCATGTGATCGCCTGACACGGCAGGGTGCCCTGGGGCCGAGCGCGGTAAAATCCGGCTCACTCAGCGCTCGGGAGGGGGGAAATGATAGGCGGCACTATCCGCACAGCAATTTCAGGACACCCTGTATGTCTGCATACGGTGCCAACTTCATTACTGGGCAGGAGGCAGGTTGTGTTAAGTTTGCAGTAAGGCACGAGGTCAAATCTGTACACGTGGTATTTATTTACCATTGTTTGTTGCATTTCATCTTCGATGGTACATAGGATGTGGAAAGTTAAATACATCTGGTTCAAAGAAACAAGTACAAAATTATATACTATTAATGTGACTACAAGAGGATATCCAAAGTATGACCCAAACATGCAGCATCTTAACACTGCCAAATGGTGGCATATGCTTACAAAACTAACAGATTTTGATGGAGAAGAACAGACAAACAACTGTATCGTGGTGGTTGAGCTGATGCATGGTGACATTATCATTTTAGGGGTCGATTCTGGATCTGCCTGCTTTGGAGCATTTATGAGGATTACTGTCAGATCCTTGCAATAATTGGAGACAGAAACGTGAAACAAACTCCACAATGTGTATGTGCATACACCACCAAGAAGTCATTGATGGATCTAAAACCATCCGACCCATATGTGCACCAGTAACCCGCGGGAAATGAGTAAAGGAGTCACTTCCCCAAAGCAAATGTGAATACGAGATCTGCGGCCTAAGCTGCGAATGATTCGTCCACGAAAATTTTTACACACGTGAAGTACCATTTGTCAGAACGAACATTTATTTCGGCATCCTACAACAACAAAGGAACCGGCGGACAAGGTCCAACATCCCATTCGGGCCCGGCTAGAATTCGCGGCGCCAGCCGGTGCGGTGTTGGACACCCCGTCATAGAGTTAGCCCATGCAAGAGCCCGGGAGACATACCCCCACCTGGCAGTGACTCCCGGCCATGACAACGTTACGTGCTGTGAGCGCGCCACTCTCTGCCGGCGGGGGGCGGGTTCTGCCCGCGATGCGAGACACTGCTGCGACTCGGCCTGGTGGAAGGCGAGCACGACGTGGAAAACGTGGAAGGCTTGCTTGTTGGGAGCTGAACAGCATTGAGTGCCTGAGAAACTGAGACCAATGCCAAGACCTATGCAGAGACCAAAGGCCATACACATCATTTCATCTGCACGGCGCCCGCGCCCACTCACCGATGGGAGCCGGCTCCGCCAATCCCAGCTTCGCCCCCCCCCCCCCCGTGCGGCACCGTGGGCCGGAGATCGCCTCACGAGATGAAAGCGTGCAACTGATGGCATCGTTGCAAGAATGCTGTAGCATGATGTGGCTAATAAGAGATATGCCACCACACCATGCGTAATATTGTTTTTTCTTGGATGTTTTTTCAGCTCACATTTTCCGCACCATGCTTCGGCTGTTTGAGACATCCTTGCATGCAAAGCTGTATGCAGAGTTCCGGCCGAACCCGCCAGCATCTCTCATTAATGTTGTTTTGCAAGCTGTCAAGGTAAGACTATATGCGGAATTTGTTTCCATATTATAGTTAATTTAATATTTATGGTAAGGACAAGTTTAATGTTGGCTGTGAATGGTATTAATTCCAGTCATCTCATTTGATTGTGAAGGAGTGCAACTAGGTATGGGACCTGGCTTTGTTGATCAAGGCCTCTGAGCTTCATTTGCATTATATCTTCATATTGATTGGCAATTTCAGTCATTTGTGCACATGCTTACAATCAATCAGTGCAAACATGGAACAATTTAGCTGACGCGCTATGCGGCCGAGCTTTTAACGATTTTGGATAATAAGATCACATGCTTCAGTTCTGATAGTGTGGAACCTTATATTATGGTGTTTTTTTTCGAACTGTAGTGAACAGAGACGTGCTTTCACATGTGTTAGCTCAAGGATGCCTGAATTACTTATTTCAAATTAATATTTGTGTATTTGTGCTGTTTGTGCACGCCTTTTTGTCAAATACCAGACATGGACTGGTCAGTAGGCAGCTCACTGTCCGGAACACCCACAGAAGAAGTTGCCACTGGATCGTGCACTTGATGTCGGCTGCGGCAGTGGACAGAACACCCGCTGTCTGGCACCCCATTTCCGTTCCGTACTAGCCACGGACGTCAGTCCAGCGCAGATCAAGGAGGCGGCCGCAAGTAACACTGTCGCAAATATCGAATACCGGTGAGTTGGACGGAGCCGCGAATAACTGCCTTCAGGTGTTCCGGGGGTGTTACGTTGCCACGCAGTCCCCCGTTATGTGTTCAAAGAGCCTAGACTCGTTCTACAATGGCTTCCCTCCAATGTTCTTTAAAGGGAATGTTCCACATTTGGAAATATTCAGCGAAGTATCAAATATTATGGAATAAGTTCACTTGCTGAAAATGAAATGATCAGATGATCACGTCAGGTGATGATGAAGCTTACTTTGATGAACAACATTCCCTTTAAAAGAAATGTTCCACATTCGAAGATATTCTGGCAGGCATCAGATATGATGAAATGAGCTCTTTTGTAGGTGGCGATTTACTTTTGAGTGTTAGATGGGTAAGCAAGGACTGCTCTAGACCACACAATTTCATTATTTTATTAATATGTTTACTTAATTATATGTTATTATATATTACTTACTTGATTATAATACCATGTTGAGTATATAGTTATGAATATATACTCAATACGGTCCCGCTGGTTCCGTTGGTTAGAGGACCTGCCTTCCGATCCACCCACGCGTGAGGGGAGAGGGGGGGGGGGGGGGTTCGGGCTACTTCAGGTGCTCGCCATTTGTCCTTCAGAGGTGCAGCCTGCGGCCCGTGGCAACGGTCAGGCCAGCTAAAGTTCAGATGACGTCAGAGGGAAAGGCGGACCGTGTCGAGCATTGCGGTATGTTAAAACTTCGCCTCCAAATTTTGCCGGATTGTGCGATCGGATGATAAGGCGTCAGAGTTCACACAACAAGCACGGCTTGGCGTGAACTCTGATCCCATAAATTCATCCATTTAGAAGGTTTGGATTAAATCTTAAAAAAGATCGCATTTTGATTACGTCATGAAGCGTCTTTATGACGTTAGTTACTGCCAGATTGATTGTGTCAGAGCTGCCACGGGAACGGACGGGCTGACTCACTTGTAGTACTTCAACTTCCTGAGAGGTGGCGGGGTGTTGCTGGAGAATGTTCGCGAAACGGAAGATCGTCTTGCGAAACGGAAGATCGTCTTGTCCTCTTATTTTGGCGTTTCTCGTGATGTTCTTGTATATTTGTTCGTTATTTTATATGACGGTATTCTATTCACACGCTCGGTTTTGACGTTTTCAGGTTATTTGATTACTTTACCGTCATAACTCGTACAACTGCCCAAGTTACTGTATTACATAGTTCAAAACGTGATTTATGTTCGAGGCTTGCAGTAGACGCATTACTCTGGTTTAGGGTCAGCTGAGATCCGTTGATGCTAGAAATCGTGCTGATGTACGCCAGACGCGAATAACTCGATGATCATATTTTTCGTGGCCTTGTGCGTTTTGTGGCCATTGAGGTGGCAGTATTTGCGTGACGTCTGTCTGGCGTCATGCATTGCTGGCTGACCTAATATATGAAGTCCGCACGAAATAGTCTGCACAAGCTCGCGGGCGGCAAGCTCAGAAACCAGAGGGTTTTAAGTCTTCAGAGGGACAGAGCTGTAAACTGCACTGGATGATTTTTAAAATGACTATCTCAGTCCAAACACCCCTGTAACCTCTGGCGTTATGGGCCGGGCATGTCGCAGGATCATATAACATGGTATAGACTACTCTAGTAGGGTAGTAGTCTCTAGTGCTACTGGTAGTGCCCAACTGCGCATTCGAACTGGCTGGTTTGTAACGAAAACTTCACTTAGCATTGTGCTGCACCCCGTGCTCAGTTCAGAACTATGTACGGCCACGAGGCTGGCCTGTTCGTAGTGGGACAGACATGCAACTTCACTGCTTACGAGGGGAACTGAGGTTGCAAAAAGGACATACCGGCACGATGAGGATCTGGTGGGAGCGGTTTTCCCGTGCTACAGTTACCTGACCTGAGGCAGGCCCTGCAAAACGTCTAGCCTATCACTCTCTGTATTATGCTCTAGGCTTCAAACATTAGCTCATCGGATACTTCTAAAAGTCGTCCATCCCTCTCCTTTGCTGAATTGCCATCGCTCCCGCTGGTTATCAATGCCCCCCCCCCCCCCCCCTCTACACACACACACACACCCACACGCACGCACGCACGCACGCACGCACGCACGCACGCACGCACGCACATTTTCATTTAGTCCTCATAGGCGTGGTCCTGCATGATCCTGTGGCCGAGTGTAAAGCCACTTTTCCAGGGCTCCCTGCCGCCGAAGCGCCGCTGTTGTTACCCACCGCCCAGTGTTAAGGACCAGGGAGCTTCTGTTTACGGGAGAGCCACTCTGCTCCTCACCAGCAGGCGGTATCTGTTCTGCCTCGCTCCGTAACATCATGGCACGCCCGTTCTATCCTCTCCCTGCGTGCCGCCAGGGTATCAGCTGCCGAGGAGATCCCAGCGCCGCCCGACTCCATACAGCTGATCGCCGCCTGCCAGTGCGCCCATTTCTTCGAGCTGCCCCGTTTCTTTCGCGGAGGCGGACCGCGTGCTGGCGCCGGGCGGCCTGCTCGCTCTGTATGCGTACGGCTTGCCCGAGCCGTACCGCGACGGCGCGCTCTGGACCGAACTCAATGACGTCATACTGCAGGTGGGTGCGGAGGCCAGCGAGCCTCGCTCTGTTGGTCTCGGACTTGAGACGGCCCCGAAACGTTTGGTCTTTCGGGTGCGCAATATGCGGAAGTTTTCGGCCCCCCCCCCCCCCCCCCCCGCCTAAAATGCATTTGACTTACGGGGGAGCGTCGCATTAATCCCCCAGTCGGGCGTGCGATGTGAAACCCGAAAATAGAGTACGAACCAGCCATCTTGTTGTAGGATGCGGCTGACCGTGCTGTGTTGTGTTCGGCAGGCTCAGGCGGCCACGGCCGGCTTCTGGGCGCACACCCGGAATGAGGTGGCGGACCGGTACAGCGACCCACGCTTCCGGCTGCCCTACCCGGGCGAGGTCAGGTGGGTCTCGGCTGCACCGCCGGCGAACAGGCCCGTGAGGGTCAGCGGGATGCATCGCGTGACAGCGCCAGCACGAGCGAGGCGGGCCGGGACGGGGCACAGTGCCGTCCTGTGTGGGATGGTGTCAAAGCGTGACGTGATGTGGGACTGTCGCGGCGGCGCATAGATTTCGCGCTCTGGTGATGTTCTCTTCTGTCCGCATGCCCTTTAGCCTGCATACCTCCATGACTTCCAGATGCCTTCTAACTTAACTTTATGTTGCGGTTTTGTATTTCGTACGTGTCTTGTGGGCTTTCTAACGCACTCAGCTGGTTGGGCTTTTTATGGCGCCGCCTGCTGATTCTGGCAGGGAGGGTGCGCACAGCGGGAATCGATCCCGTATTTTCAGTTCCCTGGATGCGCCGCTTTACCACTGCACTATCAAGACGCCTTCTCCACTTGTCGCAATTCTCATGGCCGTGAACAAGATTTCGGGGAGAAACGGCTAAGACGTATCTTGCACTGGCTCACTGCGAAAGTCCTTGCAAGTGCGAAGGCACCAGTAGTGTGGTGGTTCATCTGCGTGCGTGGGAAGTCAGGGGTACGAGGTTCGATTTCCTGCGGCGCCCACCCTTGCTACCAGGGTGAGAGGTAGGCGACGCCATATACTCATAAGAGCTGAGCACGTCGCAAAGCCCCAATACCAACAATGGCAACGAAGTATACCCAAGCGGCGATTTTCTTAAATATCGTCACTTCTTTATTTCCTATCCCACCTTTGGCCGGCTCGCTGACTTTGCCCTCCCGCTGGCCCGTGACCCCGTACCGCGCGGCTGACGGCGCCGACCGCGGCCACAGGGACGAGAGTCACTACCAGGAGCGGACGCTGACGCTGGACGGCCTGCTGGGCGGCATCAGCACCTGGTCCGGCTTCCAGACCATGGTGGACCGCTGCGGCGCCGAGCGGGGCGAGGCCCTGTTGCGGCAGACCCGGGAGCGGTGAGTGGCCAGTGGCTGGCGGGACGGTCCGGCACGCGACCAGGGCGCCAGGCCGATCGGCACGGCACCGCTTTGTGATTTCTGGTGTGTGTGCGGTCCTGCCATATGGTGTCGGAGGCAGATGGCTGACGTGACGCTGTTGCGCAGTAACGCGCGTTGGACTAGCTTAATCATATTCCCGGTCGGGTACTGAAGCTTTAAGTTGCAGTCGTTTGTGCACTTCTGGATGCAGTCAAACGTTAGCGAGGTTAGAGTTGTGGGGGATGGTGCAACAAAACATAGTGACGATACTAGCCTGTTGTTTATGTCAAGTCTCCAATTTAAAAGCGATTTTTCGTATTAATTTATGCACCATCGGCGGTTGCAAAATTAGACCGGAAAAACTAAACCACCCGGTGTTGCCTCAGATTCCATGCGGTGCTCTCCAACGGCGATCCGAAGGTCGATACTAGCGCCATCACTATCACCGTCCGGTACTTCTACTTCCTGCTGATGGCGCGGAAGCCGGTGTCGCCCTGATCGCGGCTCACAGATGACAGCGTTCGTGCTTGTCGTGCCGTTTTGGGACGGCGCATAGCGGGAGCTGGAGATGGGAGACAGCGGGAGACGGTGATTAGCTGGATGGATTGTTAAAGTCAGTTTGTCTCACGTGGGCGAGGTGCGTTTAGAGGCTCTTCGAATGAGCGGGTAAGATGTTGGGATTCAATTTTGTACCTCGATATTCTGCTGTTGGAGTAGTGTAGCTGAAAACTGTCTCGTCATTGTGGAGCTTTAGGTGTCTATTTTTGTATGAATCTTGTTGAGAGGGCACTATGCGATTAACGGGACAAGTGACGGGATGAAGTGAGTATTCATATAATACGAATCCTTCAGTGTGGTATTTTATGAGAATCAGGTTCTTTGCTTTATTATCGTGGCATGCAAGGGTTGAGCGGTAGTGATACAGCAAATGTAGCTGCTCATTGTCAATGCCAACGAGTGACTCGCACTACCGTAGTGGTGCTGTTTTTCATACGTTGTGCTCTTTTCGGGATATAGCTGGCGTCCGTTGATATTGCTAACGCGTACGTCATGTCATAAGTATGTCGTTCAAGAACGTGACGAATGTTGTTGTTCACTGTTCACCACCTCGCGTTCCTCGGGAATGGTTTTGTCCGCTGGTTAGTGTGATTGCCAACGGAGCGTCTGTTTCTGTTGTCCGTCGGGATAATTTGCCTGACCTGATCAACCATCGACACTAATGCATGTCAGACCTATGCCATTCCAGCCAGCGTTGTGCGTGTCTTGCAACGATGTCGGCCTTACCATGAGATGACAATACATCAGATTCGCCGTCGCAGCAACGTTTCACGTTCCCCCGCCACTGGGTGCCGCGCTCGGACACGTAAGCTGGCCACAGCTGCGCGCTCTGCGGCACTAGACAGGAATGAAACCACTTGTCAACACAAAGTTAAGTGTACTGTCCCGTGTGGACGCAACGTTGGAGTGCGTTACAACATCAGATGAGTAACACGGTACGCATGTATTACCCTCTACCTCCCCAATTTCTTTAGGACGTGCAAACATGATGCAACGTAAAGCGAGGCCATACGAGGTCACACTCAACAGATCTGCTCCGCGACATGCATAACAAAATGAGAGCAGAATGGACGTGACCAACGCAAGAGGCATTCTTATCGTCCATCCACGCGGCCCGCGCTTCCAGACGTGGTCACAGAACAGGGAGCCTCCGCGCCTGCGTCGGGCGCTGGCGCTGCCGCAGGCGAATCAACCACGGCTGGCGGTGCCGCTACTGCTGCCGCTGAAACGACTGCCGAGTGATCTCTCAGCCATTCCTGTAGCTCGCCCGCACCGTTGCAGTGTTTCTGGGATGGCCAGGACCCGATCCTGGTGTTCCACCGTTCTCACTAAACATGTCGGCTTGCAGGCGTAAAAAATGGGGCACTCTTTGGATTCAATGAAAATGCGTGCAGCTGATCGTCTCACCGGGCTCACTCCGTTTGAGTAAGTCGGGAAAGCGACGCATGCCGTTTGCCATACTGAAAACGTAGCTGACTTAGTCGACAACGTCGAGCCACACGCGTTTGCCAGTGCTTTCTGCGGTGTAGGAGACTCACGGATGGCCCTGAGATGCTCTGCACAGGGTCGCACGGAGTCTGTGGACATCTCAAAGCCAGCCGAATCCACCACGTCCTTCACAAATGCAGAATTCTCGGTGTTGAGCGTGATGCGGCTGACCCCAGTCACCTCCAGTCACTTAATGGGCTGCCAGAAGGAGCTTTCGATGGTGTTATAGACTGTGTAAAACTACCTTTTAGTCATTGTGCATCTTGATCTCTCAACAGGTAAAAGCTAACCCATATTTTACTCAAGAGTTATGTGTGCTTTTCGCATGATCAAGACTGCACTGGCATTCTAGTTGCCATGTAATGGCAAAACAGGATAGAAAGCAATGGCAGTCATCAGTGATCCTACATTCGTGAAATCGTGACTCTCACAGAAGATGCTTGTTTGAGGACGAAAACGAGGATCCCGTCAACACCACGTCAGAGCGTTACATTGCTACCGCTCTGACGTCCTGAACTGCCCTGGGACGATTTCACGGAGCCGGTCGCGACGGGGATTGGCTTCAGCAAGATCGCGCGATACCATACATGCAATGCCCGCCGTCTCGCCCGATCGTGTCCTCTAGATGACCTTTTCTCTGGCATGCACATCAGCTTAAGACTAGCGGTAAGTGGTTTCCCACTCGCCCGACCCGTCGCCCTTGATCACAAGAAGAGCTCCACGTGATTTATCCAGCTTACCGTCAGAGGCCGCCTTTAGACCTGAGATAGGACGCATCGCCGTTGATAAGGGTGACGGGACAATCGGTCACCTGCAGCGAGTTCAGCTCTAGCGCACTTCGGACCATCAGGGGGCATGTGGGACATCTTTTGTTGTCACAATTTGACGGACATGGAATCTCTGATGACCACCGCTGTTGCTGTTTATGTTTTGTCGTTGAGTTATGTTACGCCTTGCTGCGTCAGTATAACGCCCGGTATCACCCCTGCCAGTGCAGTCTTGATCATGCGAGAAATACGCATGTCTCTCTTGAGTAAAATACGGGTTAGCTTTTATCTGTTGAGAGATCAAGATGCACACTGACTAAAAGGTAGTCTTACACGGTCTATTTGTTTCACCTTTCTACGTTTTTTTTACGAACCTGTCATTGCTGTTTTGTGAAACAAACTGCTTTCTTAGTAGTCACGGTATGTGCCGACTGTAAGGCTTTATGGGCGGCGGGGGGGGGGGGGGGAGAGGGGACCATGAGATTCTTAGGTTTAGCACGAGCCCTTTTGACTGCATATATTTCTAGTATGAGCGCCAGCGCTAAGTGTGGGTACCGACTCCACCACCCGATCGTCAAATTCCGGGTCGACGGCAAGACTGCAACGAATTATAAATGCTAGGATCTATATTTTGGGCGTTATGAAAACCTACGGAAGTTTATTTCAGAAACGACACTCATAGGCACAGGCCATAGCCGTGA